TGAAGATAAGTGATCGATAGAAACTGGAAAAGCATATATATATGCTGTCTGAAATTAAGGAGTGTACGTACTGCAGTTAAATGCATGCAAAACTGTTTCTTTAATTAGCAATAAAATGTTTGTAGTGGAATTTAATTAATTAATTAATAGGTAAGTAGGTTGAAGAAAAAGGAGCAGATCTAATGAATTTAACAAATTATTGATCGCATTTGAAAATACCAGTAAATAGTTGGATCGCATGCAAATTAATCAAATCGAATATTAAAAAGGAACACACGTAAGCAAACATATATATATGCGCCTTAAATCATTATGCATGATAATGTTTTATTTTATTTTATTTATTATTATTATTATTATTATTATTATTATTATTATTATTATTATTTTGCTAGTTTTCAACAACTAAATGCTTCATTTTTCTTGACCACAAAAGGCAAGTGGAAGACAATGACAAGACTCCCTAAAAGTACAAACAGAAAAACTACATAATATTATTCCCATAATTTTTATGTCAGCAACTGCGTCATCACATTAGCTAAAAAAAATAGGGTAAATTACACTCACATCCCTGAGGTATGCTAAAATAATATTAAGGTCCCTGTGGTATGGATAATCACACTCACCCCTGAAACATAGTTAGAAACTTTAATGGAATAACGCATTGGATACGTTATTTCGTTACAGTTCTAACAGACTATTAGTATCAGGAAGTGGTGGAGACAACATATTAAAAAGCTGTGGGTGATTTTAAAATTGATGGGGGAGCCATGTCACCCCCTAACCCTATGTTGTCTCCACCACTAGCTAAAAATAATAGTATGTTAGAACACTATCGGAATAACGTATACAGTGCATTATCACATTAGAGAGTTTCTAACTATGTTTTAGGGGGTTGAGTGTAATTATCAATACCACAGAGACCTTAAAGTTATTTTAGCATACTTCCGAGGCGTGAGTGTAATTTACCCAAAAAATTAAGGATTTTTTGTGTATATATATATATATATATATATATATATATATATATATATAGTCAGGGCCCGAGTTGAAGCTCGTTACACATGCTTGACTTCGTATGATTTACGTCTCGTGTATTTTACAAGTTACATATTGCATGAGTGCCGATTTATTGCACGATGACGTAATTTATCCGGTGCCGATTTATAAACACGTATTATCTAATAACAAAAAAAATTATAGTTAAATTAAAGACAGTAGATAAAGTTATGCAAGAGAAAAAAAAACATGAAATGACATCTTAAAAAGATGGATGTAAATTAGTTGGTGGTTATGGGGCCTATATCACATGTTACATTCACACAATATATAAGCACTATAACTTACAAAATTTTGAGCACACACTTGTAGGAAGCCCAATTTCGTGGCCCGTCAGCAATTGCTTGGGATGCTGCCACGTGGATCAGTTCCAAAGACATTGCTTATCTTATCAACAAAAAAACCCTACATTTAGCAGTAATACGTGTCTTATCATTCTTTGTTGGTTACGTTGAATTTGGAGAAAACATGTCATTTTCCTCATAGTAGTGATTAATTAGTGGTCACGAGGGGATTTTTTTTATTTTTTTATTTTATTTTTCTTGTAAGAAATGTTTGATTGGAATTTGGAAATGGAAACACGTGATGAGAGTTATTTCAATAATTAGAGTTGGGGTTTTAGCTCGTAAATTTCTTTTGACTAGTTGAGTTTCATATTTCGACAATCCCGCATCGTTTAGGCCTTCGGAATCCACTTGAAATTTTATCATAGTTAGAATTCTAACAAGTCTTGGCATGAAAGTTAAATTTTGAAGGAAAAAAAAATCATTGAAAACTCCCTCAAAACTATTTTTGTATAGCTAACATCCCGTTCGAATATATTTTGAATTTGCCAGAAATCTCTCGAGCTGCTTAGTTGGACTGGAAATAATCATCTTAGGTGGAGATTTTAGACCGAAAATAGCCTAAAAATGAACTACATAGATGGAGAAACGGGACTGGAAATAGACAATTTAGACTGTAAAAAGAGGACTGACTGACAGTGATAAGAACTATCTTTTCCAATTAATGTGGTTGGCGGAGATTAGGCAGTTGGCGGCATTGGAATAGTAGGGAGACGAGGAAGAGTGGAAGAGACACATTTTTATTAGAATGGATGTGGCTTTGATGATGGATGAGTTAGAGTCTATTTCCCGTCTAAAGTGTATATTTTCACTCTAAGTTCTTTAATTAAGCTGCGCGATGTACTATATTAAAGGATGTTGAGCAAATTGCCCCTAAGTTTTTGATTTATAGTTTTGATTCATCATTCATGATTATTATTTTACAACTGAATGATTTAGATTTGCAGGAGATATTTTATACAAACGCAATAGATTTATTGTTATACATTTGAAATTCTTGACTTCCGAATTCCAATACATTATTAACCTAATGATTTTTACTTCTACTCAAATATTTTACGAGCTAAATATAGAAATAAATTCGATATCGTACAATAAACAACACGAACGTCGTGTTAAATTATAACATCTTACATAACATTTCCAATAAATTTATAATATACCCATAAATAACCGTACTTCTCTTTGACATACAAACTGTCGTTTGCTCCTATACCAACATCATGTAATCGAAATGCACACACACGAAAACCGATTTTTCATCTTACTCAAAATAAAATATCTCTCCCACTGGCAAATGGAACTCGATTTTTTCAATTAAATGCGGGAATTTGATCTAACATTTGTCAAACTGAAAAGCCTACAATGATTCAGCAGAAACCGAAGACTTCAACTTCTTTGGCGGAGGATTCCCTCCAGATATCAATACATACGAATAGAAGCACAACATTGCAGCACTGTATTACACATTAAAGCAACAGAATTAAAAGAAGAAGAATAAACGAGAATATCGATAACGTTAGAAAATATCCGAGTAAGAAGATCAGTAATTGTGAAATTATGACAGTATAGTATACCTTATGACAGCATTAAATCCCGTTGGGAAGAGGCTTTTAGTCTGTAAAATAATGTCGACTTTTTTCAGTTAATTGTGGAATATAATAAGTAAGCAACAAGTGGAAACAATAACTCAGAAACTCGATTTATTACCAACGAATAGGCTTGGAAATTCTTCCACAGTAGGGCCGCCGCGAGGACTGCGTTATCAGAGAATATATCAGGATCGATTTTTCGAAAATATTTACGTGATCACCTATTTTTTTCATACATACAAAAAAGAAAAAAAAAAAAATCACCTCCTTGGCCGAGTATAAACGGTAAGCTGGACTTTCCTTGCTTCCAAACCTTCAAACTGATTGTGCTAAGGGCCAATAAAGCACCTCCATAGAGAACGCCATTTCTTAAAGAAACGGGATTTCTTGAGAAAATAAAGCCAAGGACTCCCCCACCTAGCACAAGCCCACCTACAAAAACAATTTACTTATTTAAAAAAGTTCCGACTCTAAAATAAATTACTTCGTTTGGATAGTAACTTTCACATAATTGCCATCGCAATTTGTGCGAAACAAAATGGATATTTTTTTATAGCAAAATCGGAGCAACTCCATAAAACCGTAGATTCAAGATAAAAAGAAGCTTTATTGACAAAGAATCACTTCACGAACCAATTAGAAGCCAATGACAGTTTTTCCGCAACATCTTAACACGAAAAACAAGCTCAGAAAAAAGAATGATACTATTTTTCAGATAAACGAAATTATTGGTCCATAAATACTCACCAAAGGGGATTCCGAAACAAAAATCGTGAATCATTGCTCCCTTTTTCGGCTGGCTGATGGCTTGTTCATGTACGTGCCCGTTTGGTTCTCCGACTACGGAAACTTCTTTAAGAGGATTCGATTTTACAGAGAATGGATCTTCTTCGTGGCTTAGGGCAGCCTTATTCACCAAGCTGGATACCTCCACACCACTTCCATCACTGCCCATAACATTTAAAACCTGAAAAATAAAGATACTCGAGTATTCATATCACCATCGAGTGATCAATGCATACATTTTCATTTCATAATTTTATCATTTTTTCAAGAGTAAGAAGCAGTTTGCCCCCTAAACTACGACCCATTTTGCGCTTTACCCCCCAAGCAATTTTTTTTCGCACGGTTTTACCTAAACTCGATTTTTTGTTGCACGGTACCCTAAAAGTAGTATTTCCAG